TTCAGAATTTCACTTAAATTCAAATTAGTTAACATCTAGTGTAGTATTAGTTTCAGGGGTAGAATTTAGTGATTCTTCAGTTGCATATAACACCCAGTGCTCATTCCTATCAAGTGTCTTCCTCAATGCCCATCCCCCGGTAACCCCATCCCCCCCCACCTCCCCTCTAGCAACCCCGTTTGTTTCCTAGAGTTAAGAGTCTCTTATAGTTTGTCTCCTCTGTTTTCATCTTATTTTTCCTTCCCTTCCCGTATGCTCATCTGTTTTGTTTCTTAAATTCCACATATGAGTGAAGTCATCTGGTGTTTGTCTTTCTCTGATTGACTTATTTTGCTTAACATTATACCGTCTAGTTCCATCCATGTCAGTGCATATGGTAAGATTTCGTTTTTTGATGGCTGCATAATATTCCATTGTATATCTACCCCACATCTTCTTTACTCATCTGTTGATAGACATCTCGGCTTTTTCCATAGTTTGACTATTGTGGACATTACTGCTATAAACATTGGGGTGCACGTGCCCCTTCGGATCACCACGTTTGCATCCTTTGGATGAATACCTACTAGTGCAATTGCTGGGTCATAGGGTAGTTCTAGCTTTAATTTTTTGAGGAACCTCTGTACTGTTTTCACCTGGGATCTTTCTTGGCCTGCAGGCTGGGAGTCTGCATTTTCACAAGGTCCCCAGGGAGTCCTGTGCAGGGTAAGGCACCAGGTGCTCTGCTCTGTACCATCCACTTTCTTCCTTTGCACTTGTTCTCGTTATAATTAAGCACTTATTTGCATAATCCTTTGTTTGCCGTCCATCTTCCCCACTTAGGCACTTCTGGACTGCTTTAGCTCATTGTTATAACCCAGTTCCTAGCACATGCCTGGTGCAAGTAGGCAATGAATAAGTGAATGAATGAATGAATGAATGGGCTCATTCCAGAGGCCGTGGCCATCTGTTTAGCTAATCCTTCTCCCTTTACCCATGGGAAGCTGGGGAGGAAGAGGAGACTTAAGAGTTTTAAATTCAGAATTAAATGGAGGAGGCTCTGTCTCCCTCCCCCCCTCGAGAGCTAGCTGTCCCGTTTAATGTGTCAACCACATCCCCCAAGACACGTGGTGAGACTTGGAGATCGGCTGCCTTGGGTCAGGTTACTAGGGCAGGTTTCACCTCTGGCAACATGGATATGGTTGATACCCTGTTGACCTTAGCCTCATCCATCACGGCAAGTTCAGTGGCACTAACAAGGTTGAGAACAAGAAGCTGTGGTCAGTGCAAGTCCAGGCTCTAGACCCCACCAGTAGGAGTGTGGGCCGCTGCAGCTTCTGAATATAATGTTTCCGGCACCCTGAAGATGCTGGGGGCTCACTCGACGAGTGCAGTCTGAGGGTCACCTGCCCCTTGTGCCGGTGGCCCCATATTGGTGTTGGGGCAACCATGAGGAGTATGACCTCCCCCTAGATTGTGCTCCCACTACTCCCACTGCCAGACTCTGTAACACTCTGGCATCATGCAGGGACTCATGACCACGGTCCACCCACTGTCTGCCCCTCTGGCAAACTGTGGTACCATGGTCATGCAGCTGGCCGGAGCGTCGTGCCTGCATGCAGCAGCGGCACCCACATGGCTGTGGTCAGGATTGTTGCATGGAGAGCTCAGGGGCCTGGCTGCATGGATAGCTCAGGGGCCTGGCCTCCCGCGTCTCCACCCTCAGTGGGTCTCTCTGCCTCTGACTACCATCCAGACAAAGCTGTCAGGTACAGCAGCATTCAGAAAGTAGTGAAGCGGGCCTTTGGGGGGATTACCGAGAGCCATCCTGGGCTGTACTGAGGTCTAGGTTGTCACCTACGACTTGAACAGTGATGTCGCACTGGGGCTGGCAGTGCCCACAGGATTGTCCCATCGGGCCCACTTCCTAGTTTGCAGACGATGACAACTGCAGGCAGGCCTCCTGGTCCTTGTGACCTCCAAGGACATAGCCTTGGGCCACGGCAGCAGCGCCAGACAGAAAGAGAAGCTCTCCGCTCCTGGTAAGTCCCTGCCTCCGCTACGCACCCAAAGCACTGAGCATCCCCGTCCTGGACATAGTCCCACCCAGGCCCCAGAAGAAGGAAGGAGCTTGAAAGCCCCACCTTGTCACAAGCCATCAGGATTTCCAATGAGGTGTACAGCATTGCCACCTGGAGTAAAAGGCAGAAGGGAAGAGTGGCAGGTAGGGAAGGAGGAAGGGGGTCGTTCCATATATAATGTACTCATTTTCTAGGTTTCCCTGCCCAGGTCTCTTGGGATGGAAAGTTCAATATGATACCCACCCACAAAAGATAAAAGCCTGTGTTCAAAAGTCCCACCGCCTGTAGAAGGCACATCTTTCACCGAATACCCGTCTCTCACTCGCACAGTCGTCTGGGAGTGTGCTGGGGTGGGAAGGGGAGAGGATTGTAGGTTTGCATAGCAGGAGAGGGAGACCTGCCCACGTGGGGAAGCCAGGTTGCTCAGCAATTCAGAGCAGGGGAAGCTGGAGTTGAGGCAAACATGCAAATCACAGCGCAGAGACTGGTGCAGAAAGATGCTTCAAATTTACAGAACGCCAAGTTCATCCGAGCCCATAGGAATGTTTCCATAAGATGCGATTTTTATGAATATTTACATATTTATTTAAGAAAACATATTCAAAATGTTTAATTCAGTAACTTATGCATTACCAAATGCATTGAGATCATGGGCTTTTACCAATAATGACATTGTGGCTGCTTCTGAATGAGGCAGTTCATTCTCTAGTCCTGGGGGAGGATGAGGACGGGTGCTGGAGGTCCTGCCTGGGGCAGCGCACCCCAACTAGGGACAGTAGCATTGAGGGAGCACCTACAGCACTTTCCTTGACATTAGACCACGGCTATTCTCAACACATAGTAAGAAATGTATTTTTTTTATTTGACAGACACAGATCACAAGTAGGCAGAGAGAGAGAAGGAAGCAGCTCCCTGTCGAGCAGAAAGGCTGATGCAGGGTTCGATCCCAGGACCCTGAGATCATGACCCGAGCCAAAGGCAGAAGCTTTAACCTGCTGAGCCACCCAGGCGCCCCAAGAAATGTATTTTTGCATGCCACTCAGCACACACACACGCACACGCCTGTGCCCACACACACACACACACACACACACACACACACCCCACAGCACATTCTCATGTCTGTAACTGGAACAAAAGTCTCACCCGAACCCTTCTTACTCTGGGCAGTACATGCTGCTATTGTCTATTTCATTTTATTATTTGGCTCTAGCTGTTAGTCTCTGAATGGGCTTCAGGACTCCTGCCCTTGACCCTGGGGGTCTGGGACCCCAACAGAATTTGACTCAGCCAGGGTGGCAGTTCAGGGAATGGACTTGGGACTCACATGGCCCTGGGATTCAAGTCCCAGTTCCAGTGCTCTCAGGCTATGTGGCCTGAGCAGGGTCCTTAGTCTTCCCCTGTTTCTTCATCTGTACAGTGGGGACAGTGACGTCACCTACCTTTTAGCATTGATGCGGGGAATGAGTGAGGTCACGAATATGAGCAGTTAGCGCAGGACCTGGCACAAAGCGAGCTCCTACGTGGACACTGGTCGCTGCCTTAGGATGAGAGCCAGCGTGGGCTGCAGCACCCTGGGGCCAGACCACCTGAGTTCAGATCGCAGATCCACCCCTTCTGACCTCCATGGCCTTGGGTGAGTTAGTTAAACTGTCTGTGTTCTTCATCTGTAACATGTAGGTATGTGATTATGAGGATTAACAATAACTAATCCAGGTAACAGACTTAGAGCTTGGCACATAATAGACACTGAGTAAATGACAGACGTCATCATCTCCGCATTTAAGCCACACGCATCCTCATGGGATCAGCTTTTCCCCATTTCACAGGAGGGAACAGTGAGGTCCAAAGACTCGACGCAAGTTGCCTGAAGTCTCATTGCTGCTGAGTCATAGAGTTGGAATTGCAAGTTGCTGTTCTGAGCCTCCAGCTCTAGAAAGGCTTAGAGCTCTGGAGACCTTGGAGCATTTCTCAAGAAGCACAGGGACACCCCAGCCATGTACCCCAGGACATAGGCACTGCCCTGCACACAAGGGAGCATGAATCAGTAGGCTGATACAATCAGAAGATGTGTTCTCTGGTATTTGCCAGGGCTTCCCTGTGAGGACATTGAGTCACGCTATTAAAGATGACAGAGTGCAGTCCCCAGTGGACTATCCATGTGTAAAATTAGCCTCGTAAAAATCTCCCTCCCAGCTTAATTCCACCTCCTGTTCATCCCCTCTTGCATTATTGTCTCCCACTGACAGTCGCATGCATGGTGCCCAGGGATACACTTGAATGAGGAGCCCAGGCCCCTTTTGTCTTCCTGCTCCACACACCTAGGAGATGAGCCAAGATGTGCCTTCCCCTAAGTGCTGGGGCCAGCCCCACCTGAACCCCATGGACCGAAACTAGGGTGGGAGGAGAAGAACATCAAGGTGATGTCATCAGAGGAAGGGAAATGGATGTCGGCTAATCAAAACCAGCTGGTGTCTGCCATTCTCGGGTTCTTGGGTTGCCTTTGAGGCAGGGAAGGGAGCAGCTCTCTACCGAGAAATGGAAATGGCACCAGACTGGGCGTCAGGAAACCTGGGTCAGGTCCCAGCTGTGCTGCTCTCTAATTATGTGACCTTGTTCGAGCATGTTCTTTCTGTCCCTTTGGCTTCAGTGTCCCCATCCACGCAAGACGTAAGGGAGAGTGTTCTCCTCTGATGTTTCAAGATGCCCTAGACCCTTCACATGTGGTCCTTCCGTTAGTGCCTGGAGACAGCAGTCACAGCAGTCAAAAAGGGTTTTCAAGAAGGAGAGTGCTCAAATGTTGTGCCTTGGATGAGCTTTTGTGGTTGAGAAAGTCCCTGGTCTGAGTTTCTTCCCACTCAGGTCAGCGTCTAAAGTCACAGCTTCTGTGGGTCGTCACTCTGACAGCTAAAGCCCTTCCAATTTTTCTTTTCCCTCCAGGCATCACCACATCCGCCTCCCCGAGTGTGTCTCAGCTCTTCACAAGGTGAGTGCCCTAGCCCAGCTCCTCTTCCTCCCTCTATTTCTCTACCTTGCCGGGCAAATGCTCTGGGGCCAGAGTCCCCAGAGGGGAATCCCAGCGACAGCACTTAGCAGCCGAGGCACCTTGAGCACGTGACTCCACGGGCCTCAGTCTCCCCATCCTTAAAAGGGGGACCATCACGATGCCTGCCCCATGAAATAGGCTAGAACATGTCAGAAGGGCTTAGAATGAAGCCTGGAGCAGAGTGTTGAATGTTGGGTTTTCTCCCTTCTTCTCTTTGTTCTTTTTGTTCATCTTTCCTTCTCTTCCCCTCCCCTTCCTCTCCTTTCCTTGGCAGACTCCTTCTCAGTTCTTCCCACCCTCCATTTGTCCCCACGTCCCTCCCTCTATTCCTTCCTCCTTCCTTTCCCCTCCCTTCTTCACTCATCTCCCCCTTCCCTCCCTGTCCTGCTCTCCTTGCCCCCCCCCCACCTAACTCCCTCTCCTCCTCCCTCTTTCATCCTCTCTTCCGGCCCCAACACCCACCCAGCACTCCTTTGGGCCACATTCTGCAGGGGATGCCAGTCCCAGAGATGGGTGAGGTGGGGCCCCTGCCCTCAGGGAGTTGCCCATCCAAGGGAGGAGGCAGGCCAGTAAAGCAGAGACCCCCTCCCATGGGCGGGCAGCATCAGTGCTCCACCAGTGGCAACATGTGCACAGGGCAGAACCAGCTCCCTGATGGCCACGGCTCCCTGAGAGGCCTCGGGGAGCTGCCAGCCTGCATCCCGCAGCGTGGGAAGCCTGCAGTGCTCCTGGCCAGGCGGCCAAGGTGCCCTTGGTCTAGAGGGTCAGCTCCTCCCGATGTGGACGTGCACCTCTCTTGACAACACCGGAAAAGCTGCTTCAAAGGAGCACCTTCCTCAGCCTTCCTTTCCCTGCAGGTGTTTTGAAGGTGCTTAGTAGCAATGGAGGTCTGTCAGATGTACCTAAACTTTTCTTCAAGGCCTCGGGGTTCTGCTCCTCTTTCTCTAGGTTTTCACTATAGCCTCACTCAGTTTAATCTGCGAGGGGGAAACGGCTTCTGACGGGAAGCTAGAGTCGATGGCTGGGAGTTGCCACCTTCTAGTTCCAAGGACAGGTGTAAATTGGGAGCAGGGTCAGATAAGGTTCTGTGCTCAACACTAAGTCCCGACCCTTGGGACGCATCCTGGGGCACTGCACCAAGTGGGAATACTGGCGGATAAAACCTCCAGGACTGGGTCTGGGATCTCTGAGTTAAAGTCACGCACTTTGGAACAAGTTCCCCCCCACTATCTATCACAGTAGTAGTCTGAATGAAAGAAGGGCAGGAGAACATCTTTTTGTAATTCTGTAAAGTTTTGTACCCATCTCACATCTGCCATGAGGCTTCTTATGGAGGAGGAAGTCCGGAAATGAACAGGTTTTACCCAAAGAGATGTAACCAGAATGGAAGCCGATGCAGAGATGGGGATCTCGCTACCATCTACTGGCAGAGCAGCTAGATACAGGATGTCGGGTGCAGACGGCCCTTGCGTCCAGGTGTGGGAGCTCACGGGAGAGAGTGGCCCCATGGAGTGGTGAAGGGCATGGCCTCTGCATCAGCCGTGCACACTTAGTACAGCCCTTAGTCTCTCTCAGCCTCAGTTTCCTTATCTGTAAAATGGGATTAGGAACAGTAACTACCTCCAGGGGTTGTCATTGTTGTTATGAGGCTTAAATGAGCCAGTACACAGTAAGGAATTAGGACATTGCCTGGCACATAATAGGTACAACAATTTTTAGCTGTTTTTTAACACTAAAGGAGGTAGACCCTGGAGGGGATGTTGCAGATGAATGTGATAGAGAAGTGGCCACTGCTCAGATTGATTGATAATGTAACGCAGGAGTGCAAACCTAGGCTTGCTGAATCCTCTGCTTTGTGGGGGTGTGTGTGGGAGAGAGAGAAAGGGAGGAAGAGAGAAAACTCATGGTTTGAAAATAATAGTGATGAATTCAAATTTCAAGAAAATCAACTGCACTAGCCAAAGAAATTGTATCCATGGATCCAAGGACCACCTCTGGCTCCTGGGCCACCATCTTGTCCCCTTCCTTCTAGAACAACCCACCTTGACTTGACATTGCTGCCTGTAGGGCTGGGTCAGTCTCAGTCCTGTCAATGAGAAGCAGCACAGTTACAAGTGGGGACACTGGAATCAGAGCCCAAGTTTAAATTCTAGATTCTCCCACTTTCTAGCTGTGACTTCAGGTCTCTCAGCTTTGGTTTCCTCTTCTCGAAAATGGGAGTTACAAGAGCCCCCACCCCAGGGAGTTGATGTGAGCGTCCAGTGAGCTACACTGCATGTGTCAGGCCTATGGGACACAATTCGAGCCCATGGTAAAAACACAGTGATTGGAAGCACTCATTACATTACAGATATCTTAGTTAGTGGACCTTTAAATCCTAGGCCTTCATGGAACCTGTCATTCACCAGGGAGAGCAGAATCCAATTGTGTTCTTGGGTTGCATGTAACAGAATATAGGCTCCAGCTGATGTCCGCCCAAAAGGACTTTCTTGGAAAATCCGGCGTAGCTTGCAGTGTCAGTGAGAGCAGAATAATCAGACCTTGAGAAAGACCAAGAAAAGGATAGCTTCTGGGATCCAAGCAACAGGAAGGAATGAAGACAGGGTCTTCAGAGTGTAGCTGCTGGAATGAACCAATCAGCCCAAGTTAGGGTAGATAAGATAAGACAGGCTGCGGTCATCAGTGGTGTAGACACAGTGACATCACACAACAAAGGCTTGTTTGTGGTTCACCAAAAGTTCAGTGTGGACCGGAAGAAACTCCCCAGGACAGCTGTCCTCTAGGTGCTGACGCAGGATCTGGGGGATAATCCATACTAGAGCTCTGTCCCCTCAGTCTTGACAGTTGCTGCCAAAAGAGGGGAGAGGACAGGAGGGTTGCAGGGGATGGTCTTATTAGCCAGAACTGGGAGGGGCTTCTACATTCTATGGGAAGGAGTCCAGTCCCATGGTGGACCTGACTCAAGGCAGACAAGAAATAGTCTTCCTGGTGCCCAGGAAGAGGAAAATGGAGTGGGATCTGATGAACACGTAAGTTGTCTCTGCCCCAGAAAGGGTCAATACTCAAAGGAAGATAGGGGGAAGGGATGCTGGGCTAGGACTGGAGATTTAATCTTGTCTCTTTCCCTGCAGACCTTGCCCACACGTCCTGCCCAGCCAGCCTGCCACGGCCATGGCAGCCTACGGCCAGACACAGTACAGTGCAGGGATCCAGCAGGCTGCCCCCTACACCACCTATCCACCCCCGGCACAAGCCTACGGAATCCCTTCTTACAGTGAGTACCCGACCAAGCCCTGGCTTTCCCGCTGTGGTCCCCGATATTTTGGTCTTTCTTTTGTCCTGTTGCCTCAGTTAAATGCAAAATGGCAAATGCAGCCAGCCTAGGTTTGGATTGGAAATAGAGGGAAAGGACAGACACATTTAAATGTGGTTCTAGTTCAACAAACTATATCAAGGCCTCTTTTGATTGTAAGACTAAGAAACTCAACACTAGCTGGCTTAGGGAAAATAGAAATTTAATTCCCAGAAGTCCCACCAGAATCCCTACGGGCCCTCATTGGCCAGTTGGGTCACATGACAATGCTTCAGTCTGGGCAAGGAAGTGAAAGTACGAGAAATAAGGAGGCTGAAGTCTGTGGATTGTATCTGAGGGAGAGATGGTTCTCTCAAAAGAAAGTCATTGGATGCCAGGAAGACTCCAGTCTGAAGGCAGGAAAAGACCCATGTCCCAGCTCAAGCACTCTGGCAGAAGGAGTCCCCTCTTACTCAGCCTTTTGTTCTATTCAGGTCTTCAACTGATGAGATGAGGCCCACCCACCTTAGGGAGGGCAGTCAACTTTATTCAGTCTACAGATGCAAATGTTAATCTCCTTCAGAGAACTCTCACACAGATACACCCAGAATAACGTTTGACCAAATGTCTGAGCACCTTGGGGCCCAGTGAGGGTGACCCATCCAATTAACTATTACTCATGCTAGTCCTTCCTGTCATAACTGATGTATCAACCAAAAGCTCTTTTGGTAGCAAATGAGAAAAACCCAGTGTTAATTAGCATAGGGAAATAAGGGTGTTTATTGCAGACATAACTGAACAATCTAAGGTACTAGCTTTAGGCAGCGCTAAATTCAGATACTCAAGTGATAATATGAGGCACGCTTTGGAAGGTTAGCCTCAGTCTCAGGCCTTTCCGCTGAGGTGCCGAAGACAGCCTCAACAGTGCCAAGTTGTAATTTCCCCCACCAAAGAGAGCTCCTCTCATCTGGGACTTCCTGCACCATCCCAAGGATTCCTCTGACTGGGCTCCCACAGCCATCGCTGACCCAGACACTGGGGCAGAGAAGATAGAATGCTCTGGATGGCCACATTGGGCCACATATCCACCTATGGAACCAGGAGTCAGGGCAAGCTCGCCCAAGAAAGCGAACCGATCTGAATGTGAGGAAGGGAGAGTGGGTAGAAACCACAGATGTCTAGTAGACAGAATGTAGAGTTGGTTGGCAGGACACCTAGCTTCCAGGACCACCTGCCTCTGATCTCCCCAGTCCTCAGTGTCCTCAGCTGTCAATATTAATATCTCAGGTCACCTTCTGAACCAGATGGTATGGCTTGAGTGCAGAGACCCAATCTTGTATTTTTTCCCCGCCCTCTTCTCCCTCTCTGCCTCTGCTCTCCGTGTGTTCTTTTATTCATTCCTTCATGATTCTGGGTCATGTGCCAGCCAGTAGAGGTCAACAAAGCAGAGCTGGGCCCTCCCTGGAGCTTATAGTCTAGAACAGAGGCTGAAAAGTAAAAGCCAATGGGCAATGTGGGTAGCTCTCTTAACCTATAAAATACACTTGACATTTTAAAAACTAATTGCCAATTTTTAAATGTGAAATGCTAACATAAAAAATTATATTTCTAATGTCTTTAAAAAGAGAGACGATCCGGCAGCACTGACCTGGCAGTTTTTGTGTTGGGAATAGGTGCCTCTGAGTAGGGCTGAGCCCATTAGCCTAAATTCGTCATGCTCCCCACCCAGCCCACATGACTCATTTGAATTATCTGCGGGTCCTCTGAAGACATTTGAGTTTGCACCCCCCAGCCTAAAGGGAGAAAAAAAAAATTAAAGATTTAAAAATCTCTCTGTGTTTCAAACTATGATTGTGTGACGGAAGGAAGAGAAGTAGGTCATGAGAAAGAACAGAAGAAGGAAGACTTCATCTCAGATCCAACATCAGGGAGGGCTTTTAGATGAGGAGCTGATTCAGCTAAGAACTGAGACCGCATCCAGGCAGGGGGACCGCCCGTGGGAAGGCCCCTGAGATGGGGAGGAATTTGGCGAGTCCAAGAAGCCCAATAGCAAAAGCACAGTGGGAGATGAGGTAGGAGAGGTGGGCAGAGCCCTGGAGGCCTGGGGAGGATTTGGGATTTTTATTCCAAGTGAAACGGGAACTCACTGATGGGTTTATAAGGAGAGGGCTATATTCTACAATCTGGGTTTTTTTCAAGATCACTTTGGCCACTGTAGGGAGCCTAGATAGGAGGGAAGGAAAAGGGAAGCAGGCAGGCTAGTGGAGACTGAGGAAGCGGATGGACAGGGTAATGTTGGAGGCCTGGGGCAAGGCAGGCACAGGAGCAATTCTATACTCGGGAGTGATGTGTCCTGGGGGAGCAACAGGCCAGGCGTTGGTAACAGTCACCAGCAGGGAGCTGCTGCCACCCTGAGGCCCTCAGTGCTCTGTGTCCTTACCAGAGAGGGCACATAAATCACCCAGAGTCGTCCAGCTGGTTGGTGGCATTAAACCCAAGCAGCCTGGCCCCAGAGTCCAAACTCTTAACCACTGAGCTCTGCTGCCCGAGCCACTGCCTGTTAATGCTGGGGGATTACCTATGGGATTACCAATGGGATTACCAATGACAGACCTCTGCCAACAGGTGTGGGCACTGTTTCCAACGTTCTGTCCCTCCTGTGCTGGAAGACTTGTGATAAAATCACACAAGTTACCCCACCTGGCTGAGAGCCAGGGAAAATGAAGCTGTATTATTTTTCGTTGTTAAGGAGAAAAGTAGCCCTATTCCCAGAAAAAGCGTGGCAGGTGGTAAGAGCACATGTCCTAGCCTCACACGCCACCTCTGCCACTTGCTGGTCCTAACACACTGGGCAATCCACCTCTGTCTCCTCATTCATGCGGTGGGAGGGATACCAAGTCTGGCCTCCTCATGGTTTTCGTGAAGATTAAATTAGATTATCTATCAAAGGTCAGCTACCATTTTCTGCAAAGGTCCTGAGGGTTACTTCTGGCTTTGAGGACTGTAGGGCTATTCGGCTCTACTACCGTAGTATGAAAGCAGCCAGGCAATATGTAAACAAATGGGTGTGTCTGTGTTCCAATAAAACTTTATTTACACAAACAGGAAGTGAGTCAGATTTGGTCAGCAGACCCTAATCTGTCAGCCCTTGATCTACATGAAGGGTTTAGCTCACCCGGGCCCGCCCAGGGGAAATGCTAAGTCAGTGCTGTAGGGCCCAAGCTGCCACACACACCTGGAAAGTTCAAGTCACTGAATAATGACAGGGAAGACGAAAAGCCGTTTTCCTTCACGTGCACCTGTGCCTGAGCAAGCAGTGTTTGCTCATTGTCTGGACAAACCTTGTTGAATCTTGTTAGGAAACTTTTCTCATTGCTGCTTGGCAAATAGCATTATTTACTTTTGTTGAAAAAGCGTCAAGGAAAGAACACATTTGAGCAAACTAGAGGGAAGGAGGTGAGGGGTATTCAATATGGTTTTCCTCAGTTTATTATGCAACATTTAAGACATCTGTAAAAGCATAAAGAGTAATAGCACAAACACCCATGAGCTGACCATCCAACTTAAGAAGTAAAAAACAAAAGGTTTATTTGTTTTACTACTCAGAGATACCCACACTCCTGGATTTGATATTTATCATTCGTCTGCATTTCTTTACGTAAAACAGAGGTCAGCAAAATTTTTCTGTGAAGAGCCTGACAGTAAATATTTTTAGTTCCACAGGTCATACACAGTCTATCACAACCACTCAATTGTTCCGCTGTACTGCAGAAGCAGCCATAGTACACAAACGAATATATGTGTCTGTTTCAATAAAACTTTATTTACAAAAACAGGTAGCAGGTCACATTGGCGTGGGCTTATGTGGAGTATTATTTTGCATGTTTTACAACTTCATATACATTGTTTCCTCTGGTATCCATTCTTTTTTCGAAAGAGAGAGTGCAAGCCAGCTGGGGATGAGGGGTAGGAAGGGCAGAGGGAGAAAGAGAGAGAGGATGTTTGGGATACTCAGCCCAGCACAGAGCCTGACATGGGGCTCAATCTCAACAACCCTGAGATCATGGCCTGAGCTGAAATCAAGAGTCAGACACTCAACCGATTGAGCCACCCAGGCGTCCCTAGTATCCTTTCTTCCGATACTTGCTTATTCCACCCAACCTATGTTTGTGAAATTTATCCCTGTTCATGCATGCTGCTGTAGTTAATTTTCATTGCTGTATAATAGTCCATTATTTAACTATACTACAACTCATTTATCTATTACACCCAAAACTTCATCACTTAAAACAACACCCTGCTATATTATTTCTGGTGCTTCTTTGGGTTGACTGGGTAGGCTTTCTGCAGGTCTCCCCTGGTCTCCCTCATGCAGCTGTATTTGACTGGCAGGTTAGCTGGCATGGCTGGGCCTCTTAACCTGGGCTTTCATCCTATGCTTGTTCACAGCATGCTGGTCTCAGATTTCCAAAAGAGCAGAGGTAGAAATTTCAAAGCTGCTTGACACCTAGTCTCCAAAACTCCCATCACTCGGCCACTGCTACCAGTCAAAACAAGTCATAAGGCCAGGGGAGATTCTAGGAGTGTGAACATAGGCTCTACCTGTTGATAAGAGAAGCTGCAAAATATTTTGATTGTGTTTTTCAATCTACCCGAGTACATCTGAATTTCTTAACAAAGAAGCAGGAGTCTGCCCAGACAGGAAGTGAATCTTCTGGAATTGGATGGTGGGTGACATTGGAAACTCAGGAACCAAACTCAAGAACTCAGTACTCTGAGCATACAATAGACTTCCCCATGTCTGTCTCACAGAATCTTTTGACATCTTCCTATGTAGCTCAAGAGAGAATAGTGGGCCAGTCTCTAAAATGCAAGGGTGGGCTTTTCTTCCAGAAAAGTTTCTGGGGGTAGAATGCAGGGACTTTCCTCCTTCTTTCCTTTGCTCCCCCATGACTTAGAAGCGTTGTCTTTGTTCACAAGACTGAATAGGGGAAAAGGAAGGAACCGTAGTTACCAAACTGGCCCCAGAACTAGAAACGTCCTTTAAAGAGGTATAAACAGTATTAAGACACTATTTAGGGACACCTGGGTGACTCAGTGGGTTAAAGCCTCTGCCTTCAGCTCAGGTTGTGATCCCAGGGTCCTGGGATCGAGCCCCACATCAGGCTCTCTGCTTGGCAGGGAGCCTGCCTCCCCCGCTTCTCTGCCTGCCTCTCTGCCTACTTGTGATCTCTATCTGTCAAATAAATAAATAAAATCTTTTTAAAAAAAGACACTATTTAACACCTGTAAGATAAACAATTTATTACATTTTCAATAAAGATATAATGTATGGGCTACTGATGATAGATCAGGCCCCCTCTCTCAGTACAGTCCCTTTTCTAGCCTGTTGCTCATAGAATGAGTGCTGTGCTTTGGGGAAACATGTCTGACTTTGGCTGAGGAGGGGGCACATTTTTAACTGTGGCCTTTGGAGAAATAGGTTCCCCACGCAGTAAGAGTGGAAAGTGTGTTAAGTGGCAGCATCTTTACAGAGGAAGGATCATTCATTTGACACATTCCTTCAAATACTGCTGGATATTAACCATACGTGGTGCTACTCTGTAAGTACGAGGTTGAAAGCTCCTTACCCTTAGAGCCAGGCAGGAAGAATGAAGATGACTCTGTGTGCAAAATGCGAGCCCCTCTTGACCTGCCTTTCCCTTCCTTACTTTTGACAATGTCCTAGGATGTAAAAAAAAAAAAAAAAAAAAAAAAAAAAAAAAAAAAGTACAACTGCAACAAAAAAATAACACCTTAAAACCAGCATTAATGTCTCAGAGACAACGCAGTATTTGTGGTGCCCTGGGGAATCTACCCGGATGGTCTGCTGTCCCATGGGAATGGAGGCACGGTATAGCTAGACCATCTTATTGCTCAGCTGAAGCCGTAAGTCCAAATTTTTTGGTGAAATCTCCTGATTTTTAAACAAAAGGAACTCATTTCAGATTTTCCTTAAAACATACGCAGGGTCATGCAAAATACATCTATAAGCTAACTTTGCCTGACAAGCTACTAGTTTGCAGCTCCTGGTTTAGAAGCTGATACAATTGTGTGCTGGTCTTGACTCAGTAGCTCTCCTATAGGTGACAAGGAATCATCCTAATCATGTGTTCCTGGTGCTTCTTTTTCCTCCTTCTAAAGGCATCAAGACAGAAGACAGCTTGAACCATTCCCCCAGCCAGAGTGGATTCCTCACCTACAGCTCCAGCTTCAGCACCCCACCCACTGGACAGAGCCCGTACACCTACCAGATGCACGGTCAGTGTGGCGCTTGGGTCCCTTCCTGTCCACCCCTAAGGCACTGCCTAAGTTAGGTGGCCAGTCATTCATTCATTTACTGGCCAGATTCCTTGAGCACCTACTATGTGCCAGAGTCTATCTCAAGGAGAGCGGTGGACAGAACAGAATAGATAGGACACCTGCCCTCATGGCAATTACATAGCAGGAGAGAGAGATTGCCAATGAGCAAGGCAACAAATAAACAGCTAATTTTGGAAGAGGTTGAGTGCCATGAAGCCAATATGGTATTTGGGTAGAGAGTGATGGGACATTGAAGGGTCAAGAATGGTGGGATATGTAATTGTGGAGGGAGTCATCAGGGAAGACTTTGAAGAGATGACATTGGACGGAGACCCAAAGGGTAAGGCAAGAGCCAGCGCTGGGCGGACCCGGAGAAAGAGCATTCCCGGCAGAGGGAACACCCCGTGCAAAAGCTGTATGCAGGGAAAGGTCAGATTTGTTTGCAGCACAGAACAAAAACTAGCAAGGCTGGAGCAGGGTCAGGGGATGTGGAAAGGAGATAGTCTTAGAACAGAGCCAAATCATGCAGGGTCCTGAGGGCTATGGGTAGGAGCTGGCTTTCATTTGAGTGTGATAGAAAAGTCAAGTCCATCGTAGACTCAGAGAAATGCCAGGTGGTGGGAGTCAGGGGCAGGAAGGTAAAGAAGCCATAACTCCAGGCAGGAGGTTCCGTGCTCTGCGTCACTCTAGGGTGGCCTTAGGGAAGAAGACTCCAGTGCGTAGTTATTCCCCCGCCCCATATCCCCTAACCAGCTGGCTTGCTGAATTCTTCTGTCCCCACCTCTGCTCGTTGACCAGCCTAGGCCCCCTTCTCCTCTTAGAGCCCCCTGGGAGCACGTTGGGCCTGACGCATGGAGTAGAGGGCTGGTGGCAGTAATTTGGGGATCCTCCTCCGGGCTTTTTTTTTCCTTTCATGAAAGCTGGTAAAAATGACCATCCAGGATCTGAAAAGTAATATGCAAGAAAGAAAGCGTGATAACAAGGCTATGGCCGAATGAATGATTGTACTTTTCTTTAAAAAAAAAAAAAAAAAAAACTATTCGCAAGTCTTGTCACTTCATCTTTTTAAATTTTTTAAGGAAGTAAGGAGACAGTAAAGATGGATATCAAGGGCAGCCTTTCAGGGAAAAACACTGCAGAGGAACAACAAATGGTCTTAGGAGTTCGTGTAGAGAAAGGGGCTGGTGAGAATCAATGAGAATTGATGCCCAGCCCTGGCAATAGCTTCCTCGTAAAGGCCCGCATCAGAGTTTGTTGGCGACACCATCTGCTAACATTGACCCTGCACTTACCCCGTGCCACATGGCGTTGTGTGGATGATCCTACACAGTCTTCGTGGCAAAGTGTTGGTGCTGGTATAGATTTTACTGCATGGGCAATGCAAGCGACCATGTCGAGCCTCTCAGGGGTCTGATGGAATCCCGTCCCCCAGCCTCACCCAAAAAGCCCATACACACTCTTCTCTGCTTCCGCTGTTACCTCTGGCTCCCCACGGCGACCTTTCTGTGTCCCACTGAGGGGTACAAATGCTGGGACCCATCGTCAAGTGGAAAGTGAATTATGGCACCAATCCTAATAATAAAGGCTTGTGAAGACACTGAACTTGAACTTGGCATTTGGCTCACCCTCAGGCCAGTGTTTTCTAGCTCTGCAAATAGAGATAGAACTTACTGCCTTAGGACTTCTAAGGTTGTGGAGCAAATACAGTCCCCTACCCCATTTTGACATCTTCCCGCCCCCTTCCCAGCCCCAGTGGCCTTGTAGGATAAGAAGTCTGTTCAGTTCTTTCACTGTATACTATTGAGTACAAGTTCTATGCCTGGCCCCTTCTAGGCCCCAAGAGACACACAGCCATCCACCATGACAATCCATCATGGAGAGAGACAGACAATAATCAATCAACAAAGAGGCAGATAATTACAGATTTTGATAGAGTTGTGAAGGGCAAAGACAGGGCAGGGCAGTAGGCGGTGATGAGGGGAGTGGTGGTTGATATCACCCGGGTTGTTAGGGAGACCTGAATGACAAAAAGGAGCCAGCCACGTGAGCAGCTGGAGGCTCTCCCAAAAGAGAACCATGCATCTGGGGGCAGGGAGTAGGGGGGATGAGACTGGAAAGCAAAGCAGGAACCGCCCCCCCCAAGACCAGGACATATAGAATATGATATTTCTTCTCCAGTCCTTACAGGAGCCCCATGTGGAGGGCACCATCACGTCTGTCTTTACATGATGAAAGCAAGGCTCAGAGTGGGGAAGAGACTTACCCAAGCTCACACAGCCAGTAAATGTTCAGAGCTGGGATTCAGACTTGGGTTTCTAGAATTCCAGAGCCTATGCTGTTTCCTCCAAGTGCTATTGCCTAGACTCCTTCAGGACTCCACATAGCATCCTAAGCTGCGTATACACTGTACGCTATTCCCTTCAATCCTCCCAATAGCCCTATGACATAGGTTCTGTCATTATCCCCATCTTAAGATGGGGAAGCTGAGGCATAAATTGGTAAAGCAACATGCCTCAGGTCACATGGCTGTGGCAGTGAAGACAGGCTGCTGCTCTCTAGAGCCCAGACACACAACCTCCACACCATCCTGCCCTTCCTCCTCCCGCAGAACCATCTAGAAGACGATCCTCCATGGATGAGCCCCGGCCTACACCCCACCTCCCCACCTCAATCCCCGCCAGCCCTTCACAAATCGGAAAACATCTTCTGCTCTGTTCCCACCGGACCATGGGAATAATCCAGGTTATTTTCTTATCGTCTTTGTGGCCCAGATGCCAGAAGGGCTGTGGCAGCAGCTGGACTCTGTCCCACTTAACTGCCTTCAGTCTAATGCTAATGGCCATAAACTGCTCGGGAGACAGCCCAGGCATTTTGCAAGCTTGACATATTCCTCCTTAAGTATTTTTTTTCCAACACAAACACACAGAACGCTCACACACCATGCCCATGTGCTTCCTATTAACTTTTTTTTTCAAGTTGTTCCAGAGGAGAAATAAACTCTCAAACTACTCTGTGCGTTTCGGAATGGAAGACGTCAGCTGAGCTTAGTTTTTCAGACGAGGAAGGGAATGAAGAAGGGACCTGAAAACACGAATAAAGTGAAACTGGTCCACGTTTAGAAGCTGGGATGAGTCTTTCTCCTCTGTAGGAATTAAAATCCTAATTTCATAGAAGCAAAAACACCCAGCAGGGACCACTGCCTCATTTTACAGGTGAGTAAATTGAGGCACTGGCACAGAGTGGCTTCTGTAAGGTCACAGAGCAAGCATTAGATAAACTGGGCTGCCTCCCCCTAGGTCTTCTACCTACTCTCATAAACTTCCAGAAACTTCTACGGGGTCCTCACCCCCTCAAGGCCCTGCTTTGAGATCTCTTTCTGTTTGGATAACACTACCCCTCCACCAAATGCACAACAAACGTAAAAGAGAAAAGTTCACGGCACTCATTCAGCCTTCGCTCAGTTGTTTATTTTCTTTTTTTAAGTTCACCCAAGGGTTTTTATAACTGAAATGTATTTCTTATGGGTTTGAGTTTTTTGTTGTTTCTTTTTTGTTGTTCTTCTCCTGCTGAAATACTGCTATTCACAGAACTGGCCCCAACTATTAAAAAGAAAAGAAGAAAGTATCTTGAGAGTGATTGTTAAGAACTCGCTGGGGCCATGGAGGGGTTGAGAGCCAGACCTGGGCTGCAGTCAGGCCTTGCTGTGTCCCACACACTCCTTGAACTTGGGGGAGACACTTGACTTCCTCATGTCTGTTCCCTCACCCATGAACTAGCATCCTAAGAAGAGAGATGACCTCATGGGCCTCTCAGAAGTTCTAATTGGAGTGATTCCTGGGCATATCAGAGGGTGTCCATAAAGGCTGGGTGCTCTCTTTATTATTACTGTTGTTTTGTTTTGTTTTGTTTTTATAACATAGGTGTTAAAAGCAGTAACCCTGAAGTCGGGCTAAGTGAACTTCCCAGTTCTGCAATGTACTGGCTTATGACATTGAACCCATTACTTCTCAGTATCTCAAGTTCTTCCCCTATAAAATAGGATACTGGTAGTGCTTACACATGGAGTGCAATGATAATTAAATGAGTTAGTTAATGTATGTGAAGTATTTAGAGCAGTGCCTGGCATAAACTAAGGGCTCTACAAATGTTCATTATTATTACAGTTAACCTTTAGGCAACACAGGCTTGAACTGCACTGGTCCACTTATATACACATTTTTTTCAATAAGTACAGTCCTATCAATGTATTTTCTGTTCCTCATGATTTTCTTAATAATATTTTCATTTCTTAGCTTACTTTATTGTAAGAATATAGTATGTAATACATATAACACACAAAATTTGTGTTAATTGACTAATTTGGTTATTGTTAAGGCAATGTAGACAATGAGTAGTTTTCTTTTTATCATTTTTCCCCCATCACGATAAGCATACTCTGTAGTAAAGTTCTTGGGGAGCCAAAAGTCATACAGGGAATTTTAATTTCATTTTAACTGAATGTTAACTGTTGGCACTCCTCGTCCTTGTGTGTTCAAGAGACAACTGTACTCCTCTCCTTATTGCAAGTCTGATGGTCTTTGTTCTTTTCAAGTTCACCTGCATTTCCTGAACTGTGTTTTACTAAGTAGTCCTGGTAAGAGAAAAGAGGAATATGAATTTGAGACTTTTGAATCTTCCACAACAGCATTAACTCCCCTTCTGGTGAAATCTGCATTATCAGGGGACTTTAAAATAGTAGGAGAGCTCTTCAATGGGGATTCCTTTTGTACTTACCAAAGGCCAGGGACCATTAATACTGTTAATACCGAGGCTGAGAACCCAGCTTGAGCCATTGAGGAGCGGGGGAAGCATGTGATTCGGGGATGTATAGGAGAATTAAAAGCCCATCAAAAGGGTTTGTAAGCTGGTGATCTCAGCCAGAGACGTCAGGGGCCAGTTTGGGGGAGGTGGGGTTGTGA